TGTTGCCAAGGAGTCCTGCAAATTTGTGATGTTTGATTCTCAAGGGCGCGCGCATAGTATTCTGTTGCAGAGGATGGCGGGGGGGGGGGGCGACACTGGTTGGGTTGGGATGATGCGAATTCATATTTCGAGTCGACGGTTGGGCAGAATCGTATGTAAATTGCGATACGAAGCGGGGGACGGATAATCTTGGAGGGAGGTCGAGTCTATTTTTCTTTCAGAAAGGAGTGGTGCAATTTCGGATGTGCATTCTAGATGGTGCAATATTTTTGGTGCAATCTATATTGTGCAGCCTACGTGGTGCAAAGTACGTTGTGCAACCCACTTGCTGCATTTTATGCGGTGCGAGAGATGTTGTACAATGTATGTGGTGCAATATATGTGGTGCAGTTCCTGTGGTGCAATGTATTCGGCGCAATCTACGTTGTGCAATCCTGGGCGCCGGGCGGGCGGCGACGGTGGCAACGCAGCCGCCAGACCGACAGACAGGGCCAGACGACTGGCGGCGACGAGGCGGCGTTTGGGCGTCGACGGCGACAACATAGCTGCCAAGGCGACGCACAGGCCCAGACGACTGGCGGCGACGGGGCGGCGACTGGGCGGCGACGGCGACAACATAGCCGCCAGACCGCAGACAGGCCCAGACGACTGGCGGCGATGCGGCGGCGACTGGGCGGCGACGGCGACATCATAACCGCCAGACCGACAGACAGGCCCAGTCGACGGGAGGCGATTGGCGGCGATTGGGCGGCGACGGCGACGACGTAGCCTCCAGGGCGACGCCCAGGCCCAGACGACCGGCGGCGACGGCGACAACATCGCCACCAGACCGCCAGGGAGGCCCAGTTCTTCATTCCAGAAGTAAGATCTCTACATTGCAAGCGCTGTTTGGAGAACTACCCCGCTTCTCGAGGCCGGGCTTATCTGCAACCTTCCGTGCATTGTGTTCTTTCCGCGTTTCCGTATGTTTCACGGTCGTTCGTTCGTTCTAAAGCCAAGTAATGGCATGCCCCCCCTCATTGCTCACTATTCTGTCGTCAGACAAGTTTGGGACATAGCTATTGAATGCGTGCCGACACCTGTCGTGAGTTGTTAAGCAAAAGGTTGCCTGGATTCTGCGCGTGCGCACTCCTAAAATCCGCAGACAGTCATTGTTTCAAACTGCGCTTCTCTACTAAGACCATGCGGAGCACACGCGTACACAGGTCGAATACGTTCAACAAACATCGCGGTCTCGCCAACCATGTCGAACAATGCCATGCGGACCATGCGCGCGTCTCCGCGCGCTCACGTCGAAGTCTTCCAACCACGTCGAAGTTTTTCTTGTTTGCAAGACGCATGTTCAGATACACACGAACACCTCAATCGCTTTCACTGAAAATGCGGTGCACTTCATCCTCATTTACACAATCGTCATCATCATCGCCAGCGCCATCATTGCCATCATCATCACCAGCATCATCATCACCATAGTTGCCGTCATCATCATCACCGCCATCAGCATCGTCATCTTCGATCTTGTCGCCCTCGTCCAATTTCTGTGCGCGCGCACTTCACCATCTTTTACACCTGTCGTTTTGAATTCCATATTGTCACCGTCATCGTCTCTTTTGCCGCTCAGTTGATTTTTGCCAACAAGTTTCGACAAGGAGGGTGGGACGTTCCACGACCATTGGAGGTGTTCACGCGCACATGTAGCCAACAAATCATATCACCACATATTCAATTACACCACATATTTTACACCGCATAGCTCGCACCGTATAGTAGATAGCTTGCACCACATAGCTCACACTACCTATACTTCACAGCATAGCCTACTCCACATAGCTTGCACCACATAGCCTACTCATCGTGTCAACACTGGCCATCATGTCAACACTGGCCATCATCTCATGGGGAGGGTGACCCGAACCAGCGTCGGCGGGAGGGGTTGGCTGGGAAAGTCGGCCAGGGTTGGCTGGAGCAGTTCTTCGATAGATGGTTCTCTCCATGCGATATAGCAGGTAGCAAACACGTTCGGAGTTCCGCGCGTATTGCGAAGGCCCTTACGGCCGGTGCCGCCGACCCTGAAGACGATGACGACGAGGACGAGGAAGACGGCGTGGATGGACAGGGGGAAGGACGTGGAGGAAGCGGTGGAGCAGCAGGAGGAGGAGCAGGATGCGAAGGAGGAGGAGGAGGAGGGCGAGAAAGAGCAGGGGGAAGCTTGGGGTATCAGGTAGCAAGAACGTTCGGAGCTCCGCGCGCGTGTGCTGAGCCGGTGCTGGCGTCCCCCCGTGGCGGCCTCGTTTCCAGCGCCAGCCGAGGGGTTTCCGCGCGGCCCCCCCCCGGGTGTCTGCGTCTCTCTCGCTGTGCCTGTCTGGGCCACGGCCGGGCCGGTGGCTCTCCCGCGGCGTCGCGCGTGCTCTCACCCGGCAGGCGGTGTCTTGCCCCAATCCCCGAGCTCCTCCTCCTCCCTGCTCCTCCTCCTCCTCCTCCTCCTCCTCCTCCTCCTCCTCCACACTCCTCCACACTCCTTCCTGCTCCTTCTTCCTGCTCCTCCTCATCTTCCCTCCTCCTCCTCGTCCTTCTCTTCCTCCTCCTCCTCCTCCTCCTCCTCCTCACTCCTCCGCCCCAATCCCCGAGCTCCTCTCCCAGAAGCTGGATGTCTAGGAGAGAAGAAAAGCTCGGGGACGCACCGCGAGGGGTTTTCTCGGACGCATCCCCCATCGAGAATGTGCTCCTCCCCACAAACGGTATATCCCAGACTTTGGCCCTGCGTGTTTCTTTTCCAATCCAGGGTCCCAAAAATTCGGGGATCGGGATCGTCACGTCCCCCGCTATCACCGCCCAGGCCTTGTGCTGTGTCAGCAGGCGGGGGGTCGTGTCGAGTCGCCGCGCAGCGCGGCCTGCTAGTGGCGACATCCCCCTCTGGTTCCGACGGTCGGCAGCTTCTTCGTGACGTCTGCCCCCCCGGGCGTCGCCCACTTCCCCGGGGCCAGATTTTCATCCCGAGTCGTCGCTTGTCACTTCGAAGCATCTGAGGTGGCATCACCATAACCAACTAAGACTGGGTTCGCGGGGGTGGGGCCCGGGCCGAGATGCGCCTCGACACGGGGTTTGAATGGCATTTCGCGTGAGGCCTTCAGGGGGAAAGGAGAGACACAGCCACCGAAGATGTCGGCTGACTTTCTTGGGGCGGTGCGGCCGCTGGCGGCCGTGTGTGGCCCCTTCCTGCTGTACGCTGGGTGTCTGCGTTGCCGTGTTAGGTTATCGGTATCCGGGTCAGGCTGATTCCGTGCTCCGGCCGAGAAAACGTTGCCGCAGCCCGCCCTGTCAAATTGGAGCCCTTGTGGAGACGTTGCCGCAACGTTCGTATCCATCAGCGGCCCCGCCGAGAGCTTTCTGGAGGCTGGCTGACTTCCCCTGCGGCCCTGGAGGATACGTACGCAACCTCCGACGCCGTATCCGTCTTCGGGGGAGGGGTCCGTAGTCAACTGGGCTCGCAAGGCGCGATTCTTTCCTCCCCCCCCGCCATGATCTGTGGAAGTGGATTGGCTGCTCTTGGGTGGTCGGCCGGGCATTGTGCTCCGTCCGCTTCCAGCGGCTCGTTTGTGCACGGCCCTTCGTCTGGGCTTGCTTCGGGCCGGGCGAAAGAGGAGGATTGGGAAAGGGGGGGTACGAAATTCGCTGCATGCAGCTGGGTTCGGCCTCACCGAGGGGCCCGTTCCTCGATGCGTGGCCGCCTCCGGCGCCGGGAAAAGCAGCCACGCGAGTCGATGCTCAAACCCCCCCTTTGCTATCCCCCCCTTCCGCCCGACCCGATTGCTGCCTGGTGCCTTGCGAGTCGATGCTCAAGCCCCCCCTTTGCCATCCCCCCCTGTCGCCCGACCCGACTGCTGCCTGGTGCCTTTCGGCTGCAGCAGGGCCCCGGGCAGCGCCCACGTCGGCGGTGCCTCCAGGGGGCGGGTGGCCGTCGGGGCCCCGCAGCCGGGGCCCGGGCCTCGCCCGTGGCGGCGGGAGCTCCAGAGCGCGGGTGGCGCTCGGCAGGTGGCTCGTCTCCTCTGGTTGCCTTGGCAGAGTTGCCAGGAGGGGAAAAAGCACACAGACACAATTGATCGTCGACCCTTCCGAAAGTATGGGGAAATATGGGAATTTGGGGGGGAAGGCACAAATCCAGAACATATGGGGAAATATGGGGAATCCTTTTATTTGTATGTATTTATTTGTGTGTCCCAGGGCCCCTTCGAATTGCTTCTGCAAGCGTCGGGAGGGCGACCCTCGGGCCAGTCCCCACGTTGGGCCCGAGGCGTCTTCAGCGCAAGTAGCGCGCTACGTGCTCCTGCGTTCTCGGCGCAGTTGTGCGTCGACCCAGGCTCGGGGAAGCGGCGTCGGACTCCAGATGCCGACAAGTGCGAAAGACCAGCCGCCCGTGTTGGTCCTGAGTCTTGCGTCGCTTGGATCTGGGGGTCGGTTGGTTGTTTCAGGCGGCCAGCGCTCGCAGGATTACCGAGCCGAGTACAGTGGGGGCCCATGCCATATGCCAAGAAACAACCTGCTTGCCTCCAGGGTGCCCTGAGTTTTTCGGGTTTCGATGGTTTTGCCTTGCCGAGCGTGGCGTGCCCACGCCAGAAATCCATGGGCGTCCTGGGGTCTCAGGGTTGGGTCTCTTGTGGAGGGTTTCCTGTGGACTGGCCTCCACCGCATATCCAGGTATCCCCCCTTTCTCCCCCCCCCCCGCCGACGGGGGCGGGGCGGAGCTGGCTCAGGGGGGAAGCATCCACCCCCAATCTCGGGCGTCGGGGGCTACACATACGCACCGCCCCAGGCCAGGCCCACCCTGGGCCCGGGATCGGTGTGTACGCCGTCCTGGTTGGGTTTCCTGTGGAAGGTCTCTTGTGGACTGGCCTCCACGGTGTGCGCGGCGGCGCTCGGGCGGAGCAGGGGGCGGCAGGCTGGCGCGCCGAGGGCGGCCGACCGGGGCGGGGCCGTTGTTGGCCCGCGGCGGCGGCCGGCAGGTATTTCAAGCAGCCCACGGCGCTCGCCATCGCGGAGCCTGAGGTTCGGGTTGACCCGAAAGGGGGTCCAGCGACGAGGGGGTGGTGCAATAGATTGGGTGCAGCAGAATTGGCAGCAATGCACTGCAAGTCTCTAGCGCAGTACACTTGCGATACAAGTGCCCCAAGTCTGTTGCACCAGGGCTGGACCTAAGCGGTGTTTTTGGTGATCTCCTGGGCCGTGTTCGTTTCGACTTCGTTTTGCGGTAAAGGCGGATTCGAGACAACAGCGAGGGAACATGAAGACAGCACGAAAATGAAAAACACCGTTTAGGCTCAGCCCTGCATTCAGAGCGTGAATTACCTACCCCGCTTTCGCTTCCAGGCAAAACCAAGTCATACCACGCGCCTCCTCGTCAAGCGGCCTGACCAGTACAGGCCGTAGTTTGGCATCGCTTGGCATCTCTTGGAAGCGAGGGTGGTCAAAGGTAGGTAGGTTTGTCTGCCCCCTATGTATTGCACCCCTCCCTTCCAGCTGGACCCCTTCTTGGGTCAAAGAGGTGCAGGTCCTGAATCTGTCGGACAAGGCCAGCTCGGGGGGCCGCCCGCACGAGGCGGTGGCGCGAGGGCGTGGCGGCCTTCTGAGGGGGCGGGGGGCTGCTCGGAGTGCAGGGGGGGCTCTCGAGAGCCAGGGTGAAGTTGGGCTTGTCCCCTCTACAGGGGGAATGTTCCAAAATAGTCAAAAAAAAGTCAAGGGACAGTTTTTTGATTTTTGTTTTGGAGCACTCGGGGATTTGTTTGTAGATTGTTTTTATTCTCCGCCTAAAATCCCCCTGTATAGGGGGACAGGCCCGACCTAACGCCCGGGGGCTTCTCAGAATGCCGGAAGGGCCCGGGGGCTTGCGAGTCGGGGCTCAAGAGACGGGGGTCAATTGCAAACGGGGGTCAGCCAGAGCGCCGGATCTTGCAGGATCCTGCAGTGCCAGGGTCGCAGTGACCTGGGTCTGGGTGCAGGATCCTGCAGGACCCTTCGCATTGACCAGGGCTTCGGCGCAGGATCTTGCAGGATGAGCCTGACTGATCCAGGTCTGGATTGGCCCGGGTCAGAAGATCCCCGAGCGATGAGGGTTTTTAAAAGCCAGGGCGGGGGGGGGTTCTGCGACGCCCGTTGCCTTCTTAGACGCGCCCGCGCCCTCTCTCAAAGGCCATCCTCTTCGCGCCACCCCCTTGCGCGCGCCAGCGCTGTGTTGCGGGGCCGGGGCGCAGCCTGTGCTGATCTGGGCCGGGGTGGAGGGTGCGTGGCCGACTGCGGGAGCGGAGTGGGCAGGAGGAGCGGACAGAAGGAGGTGATGGGTTTCGAGGAGGAGCAGCAGGAGCGCGGCAGGGAGCAGGAGGAGGAGGAGGAGGAGGAGGGGGTTCAGGGAGGACGAGGAGTGTGGAGGAGGAGGAGGAGGAGGAGGAGGAGGAGGAGAAGGAGGAGTACGGAAGCCTGAACAGAGACAGAATAACCACGAATTGTCAGAGGTCCGCGCTGATTTTTGTTGGATATGCGCTGGACCGCGAATCTGCGCGGAACTCCAAACTGGTATGTGCATGAAGGATGTTGCTGCTCTAGGTAGGGAGGAGGTGGAGGGGGGAGTCACTCAAGGGATTGGTAGAACATGTTGAAGCGTATTAAGAATGGGGTAGGGGGAAGGTGCGAGGAAGGGGTGGACGACGACGACGACGACGACGACGACGACGACGACGACGGCGGCGGCGGCGGCGACGACGACGACAAGAAGGATGTGGACAAGGAGGGCGAGGGTAGGGAGTTCAAATGAGGGAGGAGGCAGCAATGGAGGAGTGATGAGGACCATGGAAAGGGGAGGCGGAAGAGGAGAAGGAGCAGGGAATCGGAGTCGGAATCGGAATCGGAACGGTTGCGAAACAACATCCCTTGGATCGCGACACACCATCCAACAGGCACGGTACAAACCGCATGTGGGAGTGAAGAGCCCTCCGCTGCACAGACTGTCTAGTCAGCTGCTCGTCGCCCCCGCTGCACGACGAGGAAGCCCGAAAACATGCCTAGACAAGAGCAATGCCCGTCCGCGACCCCAGGAGAACACAGGAAACGAGGAGTCAGAGAAGAGAGGGGAGGGCGGGAGGGGGTCGTGGCCAAGCATTGCCCCACACCCGCGGGGACAGATAACCCAGCAAAGGCCAGGACCCCGGAGAGGCCCCGCGAGCCACAGACGACACGCCCCCAGAACCTCCACCAGCGTTTCGAGCCGAAGCCGAACGCCGCGGGGCTGCCCTTCACGACTGCGGGCACTCACATGTGGGCGGCGATGCCGACGATGCAATTGAGAGTGCTCCGCTGTCGCCTATGGCTGCCCATTGATCTGTGGGCCAGTCGGCACGGCGCCTCTTTGTGCTTCAGCGCCCCGAAGGAGGTCAGCATCCCGATACAGCCGTGCTCGGGTTTCGCTCCTCTCCCAAGGCGCCGTAGCTGCGGCGATCCGCCCGTCGTCGGCCGTCGATTCCTGGAGCGGCATGCCGTATTGGACGTCCTCCGACGCCGTGCTGCGGAGGGGTGTGGGCGCCTTCGCCCGCGCTGCTGCCATCGCGGCCTCTGCGGCGGCGCCTTCCTCTCACCCGACAGCTCTGGCTGCACGGGCCTCCACCTCGGGCGGCCCGACGCTCAGAAGGCCTGCAGCCTCGGCTGCAGCCTCTGACCCTTTGGAGGCAGGGCTCGAGCGAAACGGTGTTTTTGGCAATTTCGTGGGCCGTGTTCGTCTTGACTTCGTTTTGCAGCAAGTGCGGAACGAAGACAGAAATGGGGATGATGAACACAAGCCGAAGACGGAAACCGCTGCTTCACTCGAGCCCTGCTGGGAGGTGCCCATCGCACGACGGGGGAACATCACGGAGCTCCATCCTCCGCCACGGGCTCCCACCGTGTGGGGCTCTCGTCTCCGTCGGCCCGTGCTCCGCTCCGGTGGCGCGGCCCAGTCGCCCCGAGGAGCGCGCTCCCCGAGGAGGGCGGCCGCGGCAGCCGCGCGGAGGGCGGCGGCCGCGGCGCGCCGTGCCGCCGGAGGCGCTGCTGCGAGGGGGCCGCACGCGAGCCCTGCCCCTGCCCCCCCCCACGGAATCTCTGAGGGGGAGGGCGGGGTTCGCTTCGCTCGGGGGTTCGCTTCGCTCGGGAGCTCCCGAGCGAAATGAACCCCGCCCTGCCCCTGGGGCGGCGGCCGCGGTGCGCCGTGCCGCCGGAGGCCCTGCTGCGAGGGGGCCACACGCGAGCCCTTCGGGGGTGGACACACGCCGTGCTTCACGATTAATCGCGCACCCTCTCGGGATCATTGCCCTGCTCGACATCCGACTCTGCGACAGTGAGGAGATCTACGCCATGGTAAGGGATGGGAGGGAGGAAGGGGCATCGTGGGCGGACAACCCCCAATAGTGACACGTCGATTCGTGAGTTGTCCGTTTTCGGTTCTCGGGAGGGCGCCGTGGCCGTGATCTTCCAGGCGTTTGCGCCCGCCAGGTCTGGGCCTCAGGTCGTTTCCACTAGACCACGTTTTGCTGAAGGGGGGAGCCCAAAATCGAATCGACAAGTCGGATCGGAAGTCGACATGAGTCGGATCGGCGGAAATCGGCAGCCGAGTCGGGAAAAGTCGAATCGGCAGAAATCGGCAGGCTAGCATGCCTCCAACAAGAAACAGGAACCCAAATCGGAATCCCAAGTCGAATCGAATCGGAATCGGAAGCCATCGAAATCGAATCAAATCGAATCGGAGGAGTCGAAACGAGCCCTGCGGGTCTGTCCATCCCCGAACCCTGCCCCTGCCCCCGCCCTCCCCTCTGGGGGCGGCGGCCGCGGTGCTCCGTGCCGCCGGAGGCGCGCAGCGAGGCCCGTGGCGTGAAGTCGGGCCTGTCCCCCTCCAGGGGGATTTTCGACGAAGAGTGAAGAATACCGCAAAAAAGCACCCCAAAACGGGAAAAAAATGATTACTCCAGATTTCGTGATAAGGGAGGGAAAAAAATGAAGGGAAAACAAATTGGTGATAAGGGAGGGAGAAAAAAATGATTACTCCAGATTTCGTGATAAGGGAGGGAAAAAATGATTACTCCAGTACGGGAAAAAAAATGAAGGGAGGGGGTCTGGACCCTCCAAGACAAGCCATTTCAGACCTCCCCCGTGGCGTGAAGTCGGGCCTGTCCCCCTACAGGGGGATTTTCGACGAAGAATGAAGAATACCGCAAAAGCACCCCAAAACGGGGAAGAAAAATGATTACTCCAGATCTCGTGATAAAAGGGGGGGGGTCTGGACCCTCCAAGACAGGCCATTTCAGACCTCCCCCGTGGCGTGAAGTCGGGCCTGTCCCCCATACAGGGGGATTTTCGACGAGAAATGAAAAATACCCCCAAAATACTCCCAAAAGGGTCAAAACATTGATTATGTTTGGATTATTTTTGGGGTACGATGTTTGGATTATTTGGGGTATTTGTCATTTTTCGTCGAAAGTCCCCCTGTGGGGGGCCAGGCCCGACTTTAACCCGAGCGGCCCGAGCCCGCGCGCGGCCCGCCGGGGGCACGCCGCTCGCGGCAGCCGTGCGGCGGGGGCGCAGCGGGCGCCCCCGCCGCCGCGCGGGCTCGCCGCCGCCCCGCCCGGGCGGCGGGCAGAGCCGAGCGGGCCCTCTCGCCCTCTCGGAGGTTGATCGATCAAACGACGCGAAGATCGGGACAATATAGCTCGAACTCTCTGAGAATCGGCGGGCTTGGAGGATGTCTTGGGCGCCGCGGCCGCTCCAGAGCGTTCCGGAACGCTCTGAGAGCGCTCCGGAACGCTCTGGAGCGATTTGTCCCGATCCTAGCCCTGTTTTAATAGACCTCCTACCCGTAAGTCGGGCCTGTCCCCCCTGCAGAGGGATTCTCGACGAAAAAATTAAAACAATACCCCAAAATAGTCCACAAAAGTAATCCAGAAATAGTCTGAGGACTATGTTTGGAGCATTTGTTTACCTTTGGGGGGCATCTTTTGGGGGCATTTTTCATTTTTCGTCGAAGCTCCCCCTGT